AAACTCTCAACAAACAACTCGATGAATTTCTTGTTCGATGTCTTCGATGTAAAAAGACAAATATTCAACGAAGCCGTTTCGCCAAACATTATCAGCATTGTTCAAAACGACGACTTCAAACTGTTTCAGATTTATTCAAAACTCGTTGGGATGGCCTGCGAAGCAGCGTTCGATCGAGATGTCGAAGAAAAAACAATCAAATTACAAACATCAGCTTCCCCACTTCACAATTACAGTTTCATTATCCGCGAAGTCCATCACCTATCCGACAAACATATTCACCATTACCGAATGCACAGCCTTCATATAGAAATTCCCAACCACGTGGTTTGATAAGAAGAGAAATCGGTTTCTATGTTTTTATTGTGATATTTCTTCTGTTGCTCGTGATTATTGAAAAATTGTCCACTACTTTTTTTCGACGTCTCGCAATAACTTTTGTTATTATATTTCTATTTTATTACATGGTGAAATAAATACAAATTTTACAGTATTATTCATCAGTATTCGCATTGTCTTCAGCATCATTACATGATTAGTGACATGTTGTTTTCCGTGGAATATCGCAGTTTTTTATTCGATTATTCCATTTAAGTCCAACGTTGCATTTCTTATAATAAACTTTTCCAGAATCATCGCATTGAATAAATCCGCCACAATCGTTGGGATTTTGATAGATGCATTCTTTTGGATCTTTGCATCCTCCGAGAATATCTTTTTCCGGGCAGACAAAACCCTTTCGACCATGAATTGCAAGGAATAAACTAGAACAAAAGTTATCAAATGGTTTATATTAATAAAGAAAAAAAAAACTTTCTACTGACCTTGTGACAATCACACAAATCATTAGAATAGATCGATACGAAGCCATCTGACTCGGTTATGTAACCACGAAAAGATTATGTCATCGATCCATTCGATCCGGGTATTTATAGTGTTCGATTCAGTCTTTGTTTTCGATAACAATTGATCGAGGGTTAGAGAGAGAGAGAAAGATGTTTTCTTTTCTTTGTCAGTGATCGTTCTAGGTCATTATATATGACCAATATATATCTCGCCTTGTTTGACGAACAAAGAAAGAGCATTTATCTTCGAAATGCTGAATCATCCGAAGTCCATTGATTTCGAAAACCATAGATTGTCACGATAATAATTACAAATAAATCTCTGTTCCAGATCGCCTGGAATATTTGACATCGTTTCATACACCTTAAATATATGGATTTATTACTGCAACTAATCTCATTTGTTTTTGCTTTTCTACGGCCCTGTTGACAACAAAGAAGATCGATTACCACGTTATGCTTTCCTGTCTGTCTAAAGTCCATTGATTGAGATATTAAATAAAAGGTAAAGAAATAAAACTAAAAGAAAGTTGCATTGCTGCTGTAAAGAACATTCTTTGGATTCGGATACGTAATTGTGCTTTTACAATAAAGCCATGCATATTGAAAATGTTTGTCGATTGAATATACCATTAGTATTACAAGCATTTGCATTGTACGGATATGGCCACCGGTTTCAACAAAAAATAAATAAATGAACCGGAGCAGAGATTTAAAACCAATGACTTGTTCGCGCAGTTTTCTTAGATTCTCTGCTCTTCCAATGATTGTAGTAGTAATACAAAAGAGTCGCTGGGATCAAAGATTCAGGTTTACGATGAAAGTACGGACGGTTTCTAATAGATTTATCAACAATATATTTAATCACATTCATAAATGCTATAATGAATCGAAGATGTCTCGAGAATAGATTAATTTCACCTTCCGTTATGTTGGGAGTTATCTCTGAAGTATTAAGTGGTTACAAGATTTGTTACAAATACGACGCTTCAAGAAGCAAAACTGACACGGCAGCAGATTTTTCGAAATCAAACAAATAAAGCGACGAAAATGAAAAGAAATCAGTACGTTGTCATCATCTAACCGATGATATTGATGTTTATTGGCCAAATCAACACGTTAATATAAAACAACTTTTTGAGGTAATAACTCACATGCTCAATGTGAATAGAGCAATACAACGAGCAGTATTTTGATGCAGAACTCCAAACGTTTCACTATTACATGAATAAATCATATAAAATCAACGGACCCGTGCGTACGTGCAAAAAAAAACAGAATAACGAAACACGTCTTATCATATGAGTGGGAGTGAATCCTACTCAATACATAACTCGTTCGGTATGTTTCATTTTGTATACTGTACGTGATTGTATTGTGAATTCAACGGCTGACAAACATTTCATTATCTGAAGTTATTCCAGTAGGAAACAAATAATTCGGAATGAATAACGATATCCTCTTCATTCTTTTCTGCCATCTGAGAGATATTTGTTCTATACAAGTAAAATAACGCTGTTGGTTTGTTTATATCACAGATATTCACATGTAAACATTCAGAACAATCAAATCAGTAAACTATGAGATTTCCCTCCTACTTCCCGAAATATTTTCTCCCTTTCGAAGCATATAAAATGACAGATTCTTCCATTTGTCCGCACAATGATTTTCTCTCTCTCAACAATGAGAAACTATTTTCTCATTTCGATACTCATATGCGTAATCAATATAAATCAAGCAAGCACAGACGGTAAGATACTGATTTCAGTTCTATGTAAACATATTATATTCATTCTATTAGAAGCTAATGATCAACATCACGATTCAAGAATTCGTCGATCATACGATGTAGGAAATATCGATAAACAAATGTTTCATTCCGTATAATATTGTGTTTTCTTTCAGGATTCGGACGACGATCGAGGCTATTTGAACCTTTATGTTCGTGAATCGTGTGATGATGAAAGTGGATACGCGAAAAAGCCCACACGTTTTCCATACAAACGATTTGATCGTCGTAGATATGGTACGGATTATCCGTATGGTTGAAAATGAAACGTTGATTTCCATATTTAGAATTATCCAGTTCTTGGATAAAATATTCACCTTATATGCACATTTATGTTGAACGGTTTACCCGACAAACGATGATCTATGGACCAACTGGAGGTAAGATCTTCTAGAAAATGAAGTTTGTTGGTTGTTATTCTCAATTATAGCTTATTTAATACCTCCATTGGTTAATTTCTATGGAGATCTTATTCCAGTAGCTCGATTGCTAGTATACGGATACGCAACTTTATTGAGCAATGGCGTACCAATGTTACCTTCTTTCGATATTCGCTATTTTCTTCGTAACGATCCACGTTCGTATCTCATTTGCATTGTTTTCGGTAACCTGCAAAAATATATGCTTATTTGATTTAGGTTTTCTTCGCAATATGCCGAGATATGATCATGGAAAACATGCTTTTGAGAAAGCAGTTCGCACTAGATATCACTCAGATTTTGAAGAAAACTGTCTGAACGATGACGATTCTGAAGAATATGAAAACTATAATTCGCGTCCTCGTTATCCAGAGAAGCAATACTACAACAAGAATTGTAAGTTGCCTCCACAATTGAAGACCATCCCTACTTTTCATTCATTTCTGTTCAGTTCTTTTATCTTAAGCTCACACGCAGAATGCCTTCATTGATAGGAATCTCTTGTTTTTGTCTAATAGATTATTTATATCGGAGAAGAACACGAACCACCACCACAAAGATTCATACAACAACACACTCAACAACTCATTCCAGCACTCGTTCAACAACACACTCAACAACTCGTTCCACTACCCATTCCACCACTCATTCCAGCACTCGTTCAACAACACACTCAACAACTCGTTCCACTACCCATTCCACCACTCATTCCAGCACTCGTTCAACAACACACTCAACAACTCATTCCAGCACCCATTCCAGCACCCATTCCAGCACCCATTCCAGCACTCATTCCAGCACTCATTCAACAACTCATTCAACAACTCATTCCACTACCCATTCAACAACACACTCAACAACTCATTCCACTACCCATTCAACAACACACTCAACAACACACTCAACAACTCATTCCACTACCCATTCCACCACTCATTCAACAACGCACTCAACAACTCATTCAACAACGCACCCAACAACTCATTCCACCACTCATTCAACAACACACTCAACAACTCATTCCAGCACCCATTCCAGCACTCATTCAACAACTCATTCCACTACCCATTCCAGCACTCATTCAACAACGCACTCAACAACTCATTCCAGCACTCATTCAACAACTCATTCCACTACCCATTCCAGCACTCATTCAACAACGCACTCAACAACTCATTCCAGCACTCACTCAACAACGCACTCAACAACTCATTCCACCACCCATTCAACAACCCATTCTACAACTCCTTCACCAACTTAAACTTAGATCAGTTGAACAACTGGATTTTCGGGTCACTCTACGACTGCGAGTGAATGACATTTGTTATCCTCTTGTCTTTTGTTCTTCATTCTTCAAATAAGTCACTTATGTTCAACAGGTGTTATCTGTTCTATTAACATATGATGACGTACTTCGTACATTTCATCAGCTTCTCTCTGCTCATCGCGTTTCATCAGTTTTTCCTTGTTCATTTATATATCGTCATTTCTTGCTTTGCCTGTTTTCATGTCATCACATTTTTTTCTTCGTGATTTTTCATCATCTCTGTGTCTTTGTTCTCTGCAATATTTATACCAATGATTCATTTTCAATAAATCGTCAGTTCCATTGCTTCACTCTTCACTTTGTTTTCATCCGCTTCGAGTATTACGCCTAGAACAACTCATTTAACCATGGGATCATCGCATCAGTCATCGACGATTACAGCTCGAACAACAATCTTGACAAAAGCATCAGAGCCAACAGAAATGGTAGGAAAAGATACAACAGCTGCATTATTTGGACGAAGACGAAGATTATTAAAAGAATCAAGAGCAAGTACTGTTGGTGTGTAGAAATTAGTAGTTAAATGATGGAGATACTTTTTTAAATTTCTTTTCAGATCTCGGTATCATCTTAATTGAGTCAGGTAGTTGTAAATGTTCTTTGTCTGCTGAAAGTAGCCGAGAGATTAATTGTAGAGACTAGCTTTTGAATTATCTGTGACAGATACTTCATTAGGTGCTGCGATAACGACGAGTATAATCAAGTATTGATAGGAGCTGACGTAGAGTGGGTTCTTTTGTATATGAATATACATTTTAAATACATCACACGGAAATTGTAAGGTACCATCAAGCAACTTTAATTTACCGAATTACAGTTTAATCGTTATTGGCGGTCTGACGTCGAAGTCACATATTGACTTGAACAGTTTGGTATACGGCAACTTCTTTTCTGGTGCAAGCGCCGAATTCGCACAATAGTGGTGACAAGGAAAACTAAATGGTGGTTTTCGAGTAATGCACGGCTCATTAGGTGTTGGTTGCGATGGTCGTAGTATATAACGTGATCCATCCAATTCACTCGGATACATAGTCGATGGCCAAAATATGAACATCCAGGATAAAAACATCGGCGCTACTGTAACGGAAGACTGTTGTATTAATGCAGCTTGTCAACACGTTGAAGAGAATCTTCAAAGTTGATCAAATGTATTTTGCAAATCTGAAGTAATGCCTGGCAACTATCATGGATGGAAAGAAGGTAGCAATCAGAATTATGTTTTTGAAGTTAGTAATGCTGATAAGAATAGAATAGCCATATACAATATAGCAAACGATGAATTGTTTGGTGTTCGGTTGTACTAACCAGTATTGACCTATCGGTTAAAACTATGACGTTACAATTCCTTGTAATGAATATAAGGGGCACGAATATTGATACAAAGGACAAAATGTCGGCGCTTTTAATGATTTCAATGGTAAAACGTGGCAAAATCAAGTGTACTTTGGAACTTCTGTGATGTTAAGAAGATCACCATTGCTTCACAAATTCCCGGTGCAGTTTTAGCACCATATGCCGATGTTCATAATCCAAACGTTATGGATGGTACTCTTGCTGCCAAAACAGTCAGTATATATTCAAAATGAACTTCATAAACCACGAATTATCCTTTTACCCCGTTTCAATTATTTAATAAATATATACTCTCGTTCCTTGCAAACCAACTAACTGCTGATTATTGAGAAGAGCATGATAACCATTCGTGATTACATAAAGACTATATTTTCTCTTTCGTATTTGAAGATTTGAAATGAAAGGAATAAAAGCAAGATTAGTTGAGTTGACATAGAGACTCTCAGTTCTAATATTTGGTTTAAAAATATGCATTAGTTTATTCATATTTTCACATAAGAAATACTCAAGGATTTTATTCAATGCACGCTGGCATATATATAAAACGATAAACAGGTATCCAAGGAAGAAAGAAAACGAGATAAGAATGACTTCAAACCATGTGCTTTGTTATTCAGTAAAACTTCTCAAACAACGATGCGTTGTCCTTGGGTTTTTTTTCTAGATTAAAACGAACTATGGTTAAGAAATCTGGCACGTCATTGTCGAACATCTGTCTAATTACTATTCTCTATACGTTAGAAGGATTAAACATTGGACTAGTGATGAGTATTCCGTTGTTTTTAATTTATTATGGTGCAACGTGGAAAGATCGCGGGACGTTTAATTTTACGTTTTATCCATTTTCGATGAAGTTACTTTGGGCACCGCTGGTCGATGTTTTTTATATTAAACGTTTCGGAAGACGAAAATCATGGATAGTACCAATTCAATTAATCATAGCTGTTGTTCTGTTGATCGCTTCGTTTTTCATCGAATCGCTAGTCATCCAGAATCACGTTCTAACTCTGACAATTATTTTCTTTATTGTGGTTTTTCTCACTGCGACTGATGATGTTTGTATTGACGGATTCGCAATAACTTTGTTCGCGGCGACTAATCCGCAATGGGCCTCGACGAGTCAAGGTATAGGACAAACGTTTGGTCGATTTCTTGGTTCGTCGTTTCTGTTGACATTGGAATCAGCGAATTTTACGAATAAATTTATTCGCGCACCGCTTTCACTGCCATCGCAAACATCAGGCTTGTTCTCTCTTGCACAATTCGTACGTGTCGTCGCTGTCATTTTCGTATTTGTTACTGTCTGTGTGATATTTGTTCGTGAAAAACAAGAAACAGTTCACGCAGATGACCATAAAGCCAGTGATCTTTCTTTGACAAAAGTCTATCATTCCATCCTCAAATTATTGAAAAAGAAATGTATTCAACAGTTAGCTATCATCATGTTACTTTTACCGATTCCTTTTGTACCATTTCAAGCGATGAGTAATTTAGCACTGATAAGGTACGTGCTTCGTTAGCATAGTAACATGAAGTTCCCGTTTCTATTTCAGTCATGGTGTACCGAGAGACAATCTGGCTCTTGTCAATATTCCAGTCACTCTGATCACAGTATTTGTACCTCTGATTATCCGTCGTACCAAACGACCTCTTCTCTGGCTGATTAAAATGTATATACTGAACCTTCTTATTGCCATTCCAGTTTCTGTTTATATTCATTTTACCGATAAAATGCTCGCTTCGGGTTATTACTATCCGATACTTATTCTACTTCTGTCAATCAGTGACTTTATTAAGACCTTAATATCGGCTGCTTGTGTCGGATTCTTTGCTTCAATCTGTGAACCGCGTATTGGTGGTACTTACATGACATTCCTTGTCACGATCAGTAATCTAGGCGCTGCTATCAACTCCTCCATAGTTCTCTACGTATCGAACTGGTTACCGAAGAAATACGATTACCTTATTGCAACATGTGCGTGTGAAGTTCTCGGCATCTTGTTGCTCGTTTTCGTCTATCGAGTATTAATACGATTGCAAGATCTACCTGCTCACAAGTGGTACACAACGAAACAAATTAACGCTGTTGAGAATAAATTAGAAGACCTCGGTCCAAGCGATCCTAAGCAATCGTTCATTTCGGAAAGAGAAATACAGTAGATGAGTTGAATCGATGTCTAAAAGCGTGAATTCCATGACGAACCTATTCGTGTGAAACGGTACAAGGCGATGTAGATACGCAATGCACTTGCATTATGCACGAAGAAATAACTTTGGCGCAATGATTCTTTGTCTAATTTTTGTGATAACAAGAATAAAAAACTAAATCCAGGTTTATATTTTACTTCTGACTGTTTTTCTACTTTTCAGCAATTTTCGTAATTGCGGATTCACAAACGGTTGACAAAGGCCGAGAAACAGTGCATTTAATGAAGCTGAAATCCATTCAATCCGATAAATACGCGAATCAAGTCGACCATGTGGTGCATAAATGATCAAATCAACAATCGAAGGAAGCGATGCCACACTCAGAATCAGCATTACTGTCATTATTCGTTGAATAATGAAATATTCTCGTCGACTTCGTTTTCGATAATACAACTTCGATGTTGATGTTCGACGTATTTTGAAAATAATACAAATATAACATAAAAACATAACCAAAAGAGGCAAAGCAAACAAAATGAAAATCAAATATAACAATGAGTTAAATTCGCTGATCAATGCTGTACAATAATTTTCATTAGGTATCAGTTGAATACCTTTGAAAATCAGAAGATAAGGCAGAACGCTGCCAAACGCAAACAGAATCTGACCGGGTATGAAAATATTGTAATAGATTTTCGCTTGATGCATCCGTACGCATTCGGGATGGACAATACGAACGAATCGAAAGAATGCTTGAAGTGCACAACTCCAATAGAGAGCACTGACTGCTGAGTAATATAGATAGGAACGGAATTGACAAAAGAATGAATTCTCTTCACGAATGAACTCATAGAAATCCCGCTGTATCGTTGGCCAATTCACATCAAGTATTTGCAAAGCACTTTCCACGACGAGTATACAAAGTGTATTTAATGAAAGGATCACTGGTACTTCGATTTTCGCTCGTCGCGAACGAACTTTGATTTGAGTAATACGGTATGTAATGATAATAGTAAAATAACATGAGATCAATAAGCTCATCGACTCTGCAGTAGTTGAAATTATGTTCAATATCGCATCGACAGAGATTGACATGGAGCTCTTTGCCATCGCTCCTTTTGCTAAAAGATAAAATAAAGAAGATGTACTTGTCTAATTAAACATCCGCTCAAGTATTTGTAGATGAGCGCAGTCTCTTTCAGACTAGAAGGTATAACTGACATGGAGACAGAAGAAGTTTAACTTAACAGTTACGCTCTGTAACATCTCTTCGAAGAATAGAACTCAATACTACAACGGTCAGATTGTCACACAACGAATTCCATGACAGCAGAAGAAATCTCGTGACAATTTACTATACAGCGTGTGCGATAATAATAATCAGTATTAATTAGTCGGTCTGCCAGATTAGCAACTCTTTTCAAATCAACGGGAAGAAACGAAGAACCATTATACTTAATGGAAAAGACTTCGCTCCACAGAAATTCATAATAGTTCTGAAGTCTGTACTTATCTAAAAAGAGATTACAAAACTTCCGTTTAAAAACGAATATTAACAATCTATCAAATGAACTTATACTTAACGTTGCTCACGATTTGGCGATGTTATCAATTATCAATCGCCATATGAAATTCTCGTATCACGTATCGTTTCTTGATCATAAGAAAATATCTTCTACGTTTTTGTGGTTCGCATTAGAACTTACATTGCTAGTCCAAACGCGATCTAGAGTTCGAAAGAAGAAAAGGCGCGTCGACCAAAATACGGATTTTTGTTCTTTGCTTGGAAGAGTAATCGAATGCTGAATTTATTGTGCGTGTTTGATACGCTTAGGAAAAACAAAGGAAAGTCATGAATCAGAATTATTTTTTAATATATATTAGTAAATTAATAATGATGGCCTCTCATCGAATTGACGCGTCTAGGATCATTCTATGGATGATGTTACTGAGATTTGAACACAGTGCCTTGTCACTTCGTGTCGGACAATCTAACTATTTATTCATGGTCGTTTTAGTAAATTAGTCGCGGTATAAAAGATCGCGTGCTGTGTCTGTGTGTGACTACTTTTCTTTATGGTTAAGAATAAGCACATATTCGTCTGATGAAAGTAATTAGCACTTTTGTGAAACACAATCTAAAAGAGAGTGTTGTTCAAAAGCAGAAATGTGGACCCCC